ATATACACCTCTGATAGTGTATGACCTCTGATACCCTGTAAGAGAGAGAGAGAGAGAGAGAGAGATCGATCCAATTGTTTCTTGGATGACATTCATTGCCTTTTTGAAAGAATGTACACTGAAAGAATGTATACTGAAATATCATGTAAGTTTAATTAACTTTCCTTATTTCTGCACAGAAATCAAATTTGTATATCGGTACTACAGATGATTTACAGATGCATATAGATTTCCCCTTTTTCACACTCAAGTAATTGCTGAGGTGGATCAAAATTTGTTATACAGTGGTGCCCCGCATGACGACGACCCTGCTAAACGACGAAACCGCAGGACGATGACTTTTTGCGATCTCGATAGCGATCGCAAAACGATGTTTCCTATGGGGGATTTTTGTTTGACAACTATTAGGTCCGTACTTCGCGGACCGTTTGTTCGCAAGACAATGATTTTTACAGCTGATCATCGGGTTCGTAAAATGGCTGTCCTGCGTTTTCCGGACCCATGCTTCGCAGGGCAGCCATTTTAACAGCTGAACGGCGCTCAGAAAATTGCTTCCCAATGGGTGATCTTCACTGGACGATGAGGTAATTTCCCCATTGGAACATATTAAATGGGTTCAATGCATTCCAATGGGGAATTGTTTTTCGCATGACGACGATTTCACTTAACAGCGATTTCAGGGGAACGGATTATCGTCGTAATGCGGGGCACCATAGTATGTACCTAGAAAACCAAGATTCAAGGATCTATATGTATTTATGTGACAATGACTATAATCAGACTGAAAATTTAGCTACAATACTTAAGATGTGCTCTGATAATACCCAACTGTTTTCAATAGCAGGTTGAAGGCTTACATCTTCAACTGCATCCCCCATGTTCACTCACATTTTTTATTTCCTCTGACAGTTAGTACTAAAGGTCTGGAAGCATTGTCATTAATATCAAGAACCACCTATTTGGTTGTTGTAGGTTTTTCGGGCTGTTTGGCTGAAAAATCTACAACCACCACCAGTTTCCGGCTGTGAAAGCCTTCAAGAATACAAACCACCCATTTCTTCTGATCTTGTAAGTTTCTAACAAAATAAACCATGTGCTTTAACTGGTGTAAATAAAACATTTCCACTTATGGTATAACTCTTTTTACTGTACCAGCTGTAACCTGGTAACAGCGCTACAAAGGTAAACTGCTAACTAAAATTTCAGGATTGAATAAAAGTAAATATACATTGAGGATAGCCAACTATAGATATAATAAATGACCAGGTAACATATTCTAACAACAATCAACTATACACACCTGAGAATTTCAGAAACATGATGGTTTCCAACATTAGTCAATGACCTTTTTAATGTGTCATCAAATCGGAATCCACTTGTAGTGACCATAATGGGGCTTCCAAGGTGAGACATTAAAAAGATTGGTTTTACCAGTTCTACCAATCCACTTGCAGTGACCATAATGGGGCTTCCGAAGTAAGTGAGCCATTAAAAAGATTGGTTTTACCAGTTCTACCCCACTCTCCAGTGAGTTTCCATGGTACACTGGGGATTTTAACCCATGTTTCCCAAGTCCTAGTCCATTACTCTATCCTCTACACCACACTGGGTATCCTGACAATGACTTTGGACTCCCAAATAAAACCTGTTAAATTGTCTTACTCTTACCTTCAGGATTATTCGAATATCTTCTTTACTGGATTGTGTATCTACTTGTGTTACTCTGTATTCTAACCATTGCTGAACTATTGCTTTCTCTTCTACAGTACTACCAAGCAGCTGTTCTTTCTTTGCTTGTTTAACAAGATGGATGGCTATAGTGGTCAATCCTGTCAGACTGGGACCGTTGTTTGCTTGTAAGACAGGAATCTAGAGACAGAATTCAATTCAAAGGAAGAATATTAGAACTCTGTTATAAGACATTAGCAAACTCTGTTTTATAAAAGAAAGTGGTGTGAGAAAAAAATAAACTCTAGAAACATTTCTTGCAAACCTATCCCATTTAAAAATCAGTTAACTTTACCTTCTATCAAATAAATACACAATCAAAAACCCAAACCATATTTATTGAAGAAAAATACAACTTCATTATACCAAAATCAATTGTTATTTTCACATCATTTGATAGTGGGGGATGATGCTAAAGAAAATAGTAACTGAAAATACAAGAAAAGCATTTAAGAGATCCCAAAGCTTCAAAACATATTAATTACTTAGTTTATCAAAAGGTATGTATTTCAGCTGTAAAATCTCTAAAACATAAGCAGCAACTGCAACTACTATAGCTTATAAGATAAATGGCACAATGCTGGATAGGCTAGTGCTTTAGTTATCTGGCTGCAGAGCCAGGAACTCAGAGTTCGATTTCCCACTGCACCTCTTGACAGGGGCTGGACTTGGTGATCCACAGGATCCCTTCCAGCTCTGCAGTTCTATCATCATCACCACCACCACCACCACCACTTGTATTGCCGATAAGAATATAGCTCTCTCTGTAGGTAAAGGTAAAGGTTCCCCTTGACAATTTGTCCAGTTGTGTCCGACTCTAGGGGGCGGTGCTCATCCCCGTTTCCAAGCCATAGAGCCAGCGTTTTGTCTGAAGACAATCTTCCGTGGTCACATGGCCAGTGCGACTTAGACACGGAACACTGTTACCTTCCCGCCAAGGTGGTCCCTATTTATCTACTTGCATTTTGCCTGCTTTCGAACCACTAGGTTGGCAGGAGCTGGGACAAGCGACAGGAGCTCACTTTGTCGCGTGGATTTGATCTTACGACTGCTGGTCTTCTGACCCTGCAGCACAGAGGCTTCTGCAGTTTAGCCTGCAGCGAGAGATGACAAAACTGAGAGTATCACTTTCCCCACCATGGCCTCGTTGTCCAACTACAAACTAGACTGGCAGTCACAGGCAACCTGAAATTGTATACAGGGTCAGCATGCTGTTGGAAGATAAGGAACTGGTCCATTCAGTTGTTGTATGTTGTGAACCACCCAAAGAGTGTTTGTACTATGGAGCAGTATACAAGTTGAAATACTGTAGTTAATGAACGAATGAATGAATGAATGAATGAATGAATTGTATCTATAACAGAAACCCAACAGTTTACTAGGACAGAAGCCTCCACTTAGGATGAAAATGCAACTCTTCATCCCTATTGTGCAGCCCTTAACGTGTTAATAAAAATAACTACGGTAGGCTATTTACTTTTGGGAGCTATTTACAAATTATTAGTGCCAGCTGTAGAGTTTTACACACCCAATGAAACCACAAAATGCCACCTGGAGTCAGAACACTGGTCCATGTAGCCCAGTACTGTTAACTCTGATAGGCAAAGAGTTAACAATACTGGGATACATGGACCAGTGTTTTAGGCACTATTCTTTCCTAACCTTTGCTGGGAATCCCAATATTCCCTAGTGATCTCCCATCCAAGCACTAACCAGGCCTGACCTTGCTTAGCTTATGAAATCAGATGAAACTGGGTTGGATCAAGGGGTATGGTGGTAAATAAACACTTTTATCTGCACACAAGGGAGAAGAGCCTTGTTAGCAATATGCACAACCTTTCAGTGATATAATTCCTCCAGAACGAATAGTTCAATGGATATAAACTGGCCCTCATCATTCTCCCTGTCTCTCCTGGAGGAAAGCCGCTAGGCTAGCGAAAAGCCTGCCCAGAGTGGAAATGCCACTTTTGTCTTTTAAAGAATTAGAAACACTATCTATTGTTTTAAGTGTTTTCTTAACATCTTATCAACAAAACAGTAAGATCCGAATACTGAGAGCAGCAAAGAGTGAAAAGCCCAAATGCATCGCTAACTGACACAAAGTGCCTATTAGTGCAGTATCTTTAATAGGCAAATGAAAAGGACACGCATGTTTGCGCAGTCCTGCCTGGCCTATTAAAAACAGATCGCTCATACAGGTTCGCTATAAATTAAAATGCTTCTCTCACTCGATCCTATCCCACTGTTCGTAAGGAAAGCGTCCTCGTGGACGCCTTTGGAAACGTCAGCATGAATGAAGACGCGTGACGCCTCGCCGGGCGTCGTGGGAACCGTGACCGCGACCGGCTTCGCCCTCCCTCGGTGACTCCCTCTCCCCACCCCACGCACTTCACCTTCCGCTCTCCATGGCCGCTGTATTTGTTCCCCTTCTCCAGGCCCAGAGATTTCTCCAACAAACTCAGCTCCTCAAGGCCCAAAGCGGGCCCTACTTTACTAGCGGCGGCGGCCGCCATCTTCGGCGCCAGGAAGGAGAAAGAAAGAGGGGGGGGGGAGAAAAGGGAAGGACACGTTTCCTCTCTCGCCTTAGCTAACACTCCCCACCGTGGTTGGAGAAAAGACGTCAAGAGGCTTAGTACCGCCCCGTCAGGAATCGCTCTCTTCCTCCATTGGCAGGCCGGGCCATGTGGAGAAAAACGAAAGAGGCGGCGGCTGGGCGGGTGCTGAGCTGCGCCGGATGATGGGAGGCGCATACAGGGGCGCAGGCATCTCCTGCGCTTTCGCTGCAGCATCCGCGCGGATGGGAGATCGGGGTGTCGATAGTGGATGTTTCTTGCGAATGGCATCCACACGTGTCTATGCATCGCGTGCAAGCTCGCTTCCCGCATAACAGGTCCCCTCATCTTTGCCAGGACGGTGGCTAGAAATGCGGCGCGGTCAAATGTGCAGGGGTTGAGGAGGCTGAAGTTAGCTTCTTATTCGGCCAGCTTCTTATTCACTTCTTATTCGAGATCCAGCTTCTTATTCACTTCTTATTCGTGTCCCAGCTTCTTATTCAGAACATGTTGTATTTAAACCATTAAACCGAGTTGGATCACTCAAATATCAGGGTATTAATAATAAATCATAACTCTAACACAAATTACAATAGTATTTTGCCTGGCCCAATGCTGCATGGAATAGGCTGGCAAAGTGGGCACCGCTGCATATTTTACCATTTTGAATAAGAAGCTGGAGTGTTGCAAGGGTTAATGAGCCTTGGGCAATAACTTTCACACCAGAAACCGACAGAGGGGGCTCACTTGCACATGACCCACTTGTATTTTGCATTGCCCAACGCCGTCTTGGGCACAGAATAGGCTGGCAAAGTGGGCACCGCTGCATATTTTACCATTTTTAATAAGAAGCTGGGGTTACGCAAGGGTTAACGAGCCTTGGGCAATAACTTTCACACCAGAAACCGACAGAGGGGGCTCACTTACACATGACCCACTTGTATTTTGCCTTGCCCAATGCCGTTTTGGGCACGGAATGGGCTGGCAAAGTGGGCACCGCTGCATATTTTGCCATTTTGAATAAGAAGCTGGGGTTATGCAAGGGTTAATGAGCCTTGGGCAATAACTTTCACACCAGAAACCGACAGAGGGG